TACTGGACACCACTTATAATCAGAGAAATCAAATTTGAAGGAGATATATTTTGTAATTTGACAGAATCTTTCAAAATTAAAGCTTACACCCTTCTGTATACAACATGAATCTGTTGCAGTGAAACTGTCTTTCCATTTCACTTGTGAAATTTTATCACATTCCATAAAAAGAAATAGACCAAGAGCAATACAAGAAAACCTACAGCAAATCCCAAGTGGTAGGGAACTCAGCATGCTTGTGTGTCCGCAGAAGGTGCACTGCTGTGAAGTTCTAGAATGAGCACCCCCAGCCTTGGCTGGAGTCCATCATTCCTTCCTATGCAGCTGCTTGGTCTGACCTTCAGCATCCATCATTAACAGTGCACTTTGCATCTGTCTGTGAATGTGTCCGTGACCCAAACCTCTGTCTATAAATCGATTCTGTGCTCTTCGTGTAGCTGCTGCATTGACTGTTAAGTAGTGAAATGATGAAAGAAGTGCTTTATCAGGCACGTGGTCCTATGACTGTAGTCATCCTTGGGGACTTGTACATCTTCTAACAAAAACTTAAAAGTGAACACACATGGCTGCTGCCACCATCACCAGCGTTTAGAGTCAGAAAGATGCATGGAGCAGGTTGTACCCTAGAGGTTGTCTTTGTAGCGCCCGTCTGTCCTTGTGCAGCTGTTTCCCCAAGCGTCACCACAATCATTCACATAAGCACCCTCAGGGGATTTTCTCTTGGGGGTGGAGGGGAACTCTCCAGTAGATCAAACAGGGTGTCTCCGTTCTTGTAGCTTCTTGTCTGAAAAGGCATTTGGGGCCTCACAGGCTAATAGCCCTCGTTTCAGAGACCAGACTTAAAGCCCAGAGAGAAGAATGACTGTAAGAGATCGAGTTAGTGGGGAAGCAGGAGAAGCCTCCACTCTTCATTTAGGCTCTTCTCAATATTTACTGCCTTTCTACTACATGACATTCCTATAGTCCCCTGAGATTCCCTGCAGGAATTTTCTTGTACATTATTAGATTTATTCTTGAAATTTTTATCTTTGATACAAAGTTTTCATACTGTGGACTGAGCTCAAACCTGTAATTAGCAGCTGCACCTGTAATGCTATGCCTGAACAATCACCCATATTGTCTGTAGACAAGGGGCCTGTGAACTGCCCAAGTGAACAACTGAGCATTGTTCAGCTTACCTATTGTGGTGGTGTCTTACTCAGTTCAGGCTGCTATGCAAGTCCCATAGTAGGGATAGTTTAGGAACAACAGAAATGTGTTTTTTGTGGTAGAGAGGCTGATCAGGTGCTGGTGAGCACCTTCCAGGGTTGCAGGATGCTGACTACTCCTGTCTTCCTCATGTGATAGAAAAAGGGCATGGCAGGCAGCTCTCTGAAGTCTGTTATAAGGCCAGTAAGGCTGTTTGTGAGACTTAATTACCTCCCAAAGGTGCTATGGCCTACTAACATCTCATCGGGGTTAGGATTTCGACACATAGTTTGTCCACAGCACTTGACAATGGGGCCAGCCTGGCTTGGCTGAGCCACATCTTCCAGAGTTCTCATCCTGGTGTTTCTGATTAGATGGGCCCCAAGAAAGATTGTTAGGGATATTAGGAGAGCAAATGTGATGCAGCTGTCATTTTTATTGCACACACACAGTCACTCTGGCTATGTGCTGGCTCGCACTTTGGCATGAGGCAGCAGCTGGACCGTGTACCCTCCCTTGGGTCCTCTTCATCTTTGATTCCTGGGCCTTGCCATGTGTGTATATTTAGCTCCAACAAAGGGCCTAGTTTGTGCAAGACACTTTCACCCCCAAAGCCAGAGGTGACCAAAATTCACATGGGTTTCTGACCTTCTGGGTTTTAGCTCTTGCTATAGCTATAGCTATAGCTTGTGGCTGTCCACTTTGTCTGTCTTTTGCTTCTGCCTGCCCTGTAAACGTCAGCCTCCAATGTCAGGGCAAAAACAACAATCTTATAAAGACTGGCTTGGGGTGTTCATTTGTTTGTTTTTGCAGTACTGGGGTTTAATCTCAGGGCCTTGCACTTGCTTGGCAGGTACTCCACCACTTGTGTCATGCCCTCAACCTTTTTTCTTTTTATTATTTTTCTGATAGGGTTTCCCATTTTTGCCCAGGGCTGGCCTTGGAGTGCAATCTTCCTCCCTACACTTCCTGCATAACTGGAATGTGTACCACTTTGCCTGGCTTAATGGTTGAGATGGGACGGGGGGGAGTCTTAATAACTTTTTGCCTCAAACTATGATCTGATCCTCCTAAGTTCTACCTCCCAAGTGGCAGGGATTATAGGTTGTACTACCATGCCCAGCCCTATAAAGACTTTTACCAGCTCCCACAATTGCAGAATATCAAATTTCTATAAAATACATATATGTAAATACATATATTTGCACACACATATTTTATATATAACTCCTAGGTCTGTTTATCATTCCTCTGTCCCCCAGAAGCCATTGTTTTATTCATCATTACTTCATTAGTAGCTTGGGCAGAGCTTTTGGTGGTAAGTAGATCTTGGGACATTCAAAATCCTACCCTCTAGAATTCCATACCTCAAATAATTCTCAGTAAATGAACTACCCCAGCCCCCTTTAGTGATGAAATGCCCCTAACATCCAGCACCAGCAACAAAAGGCACCATGGCGCTGGGAAGAAAACAGCTGTGCCCAGGAGGAGGCAGAAGCAAGAAGAAAGAATGAGGGTAGGGTCCTGAGTAGAGAACAGAATCTAGAACTCCTTTGGAGTTTTGGGAGCAGAAGAACTTTAAGGGTGAGAGCCCTGTGGTGTCACTGTGCCTTGCGAAAGACAGTGTGCTTTTGCTACATCTGCAGGTGCCTGTCTGGATCACCACACGGACAGGCAGCATTTGGAAATGCATGCCCCGTCTTCTGGCTGCCCCACATACCAACAATTCAAAGTATTACTCAGAATGTGTGAGACACACATATTTCAAGGTATATGGACTCATCACCTAGACAACCTACACCTACAAGTGGCTTGTGTCTGTCAGTGCTCAGGATAGTGTTTAAGGTTTCAGGCACTTAGGATCTTGTTAGAAGCCAAATGGAAGAATCTTCTTTCAGTGGTCTCCACTGGTGTGTGCTGTAGAACACACTCTCAACTCTTGGAGCCTTGAGGAAAGGGAGCTATCAAAGGAAAATGAGAACAATCTTCTAGGGGCCCTTTGGCCTGGGATTTCATACCGCTGACAGTGAAGACTTACCCCAGAAGGTGGTCCTCTAGAAAGTGAGAACTTTGTAGAACAACAGGATATCCACTTCCAACTCATGCTCACTGCTTAGTTCTGCCGTTGTCTTAGCATGCAGGTCACCTTTTATTAGTAACAAGTGACAGACATGAGAGCTAGCTGTCTTCTTGGACTTTTAAAGAAGTTATTCTGAGGTTTCCCTAAAGTTATTAAACCACTTTATTATAAGCATTCCACCTCCTGAGTTTTCTAGCTCTGTGACAGCACAGATGGTGACAGCCATGTTCATGGTGCTTGAGTATACAAGCAAGATTCACAGTGTGGTCCACTTATGATAGCAAAAAGGAAGATGGATGGATAATGGACTTTACTTTGTTAAGTCAGCTGAATCACTTCAAGAGTCTTCCTTGGCTCTGAGTTCCACAGTCTTTTCTCTGTTCCCACGGAGTCCTTAAGAGAGATCCTTCTTTTCATCTTTCTTGATAGCTTTGTTTGAATCACAGAACAGCGATGCAAGCACATGGCATAGAAGAAGCCGATGTAGGCATCAGTGAATCTTGAAATACTCAGTTGTCCACGAAACCTGGCTTTAAGGGTTTGAGATAGCTGAAATTTTACTATATATTTTTAAAGTGAAATCAGATCAAATTTGGATGAGCCTAATTGAAAAAAAAATGGTGTCTGTTGGGTTTATGTTAATCAATCTGTAGCGGAGAGTTCTCTGCTGAACTTAGAAAAATCTTATTTTAAATTGTCTACATTTATGGGGTACAATGTGACAATTCAGTAAATGTATGCAGTGTGTAGTAACCAAGTCAAGGTAATAATTAACCTCTCCTTCTCCTTAAATATGTCTGTGTTTTGGGACCCTTCAACTGCTCTCTTCTAGTCCTTTATAAAGAGTATAGTGAGTTGTCACAAGTGTAGTCATTCTGATGAGCTATAGAGCACTAGGTTACCTTCCCTCCCTCCCTCCCTCTGTCCTCCCAAAGCCTCTTGTGACCACTATTTTCCTCTCCACTTCTATGAAGTCAGCTTTTTTATTGTCCGTATAGAAGTGGGAACTCACATGGTTCGGATGCCCCCTGTGTACCCAGTTCTGCATCTCCTTACTCCTATTACACTGTGTGATTTTGGTTTTTTCAGTCATATCCATAACTCTTTGTCCATCTAAAACATGATTCTAGGTTTGGGGACATAGCTCAGTGGTACAGCACTTAGCTAGCATGAGCAAAGCCATGAACTCATGCAACAAAAAGCACAATACAAAATATAAAAATATATATGATTCAAAATGCAAAATTTCTTTCTGGGTGCGAGTACCCATGTAGTACCTCCTAGCTGCTCTCTTTAGAGCAAAAATATAAGTTAGCACTACCTAGCTTTTAAAAACAAAAGCAGAAATCCTGGGTACACTGGGGTTATGAAAAGAAAAAAATGGGTTTGAACAGATGGAAAAAAATAATTTTACACTTGATCTTAGCCAGAAGGCCGAGAAGCGATGAAAAAAATAATTTTAAAGAAAAATAATTATTTTAATAGTTGCCCTTGGGGGAAAAATGCAGATAAGGGTGAAGCTATGCCAAATTAGCAGTTAGATAAACTCTGAGGATTGTAGCACAGTAGGATTTAAATTCCCTTTTCAAAAACTGTCACAGTTCTGCTAGAAACTGAATAAACGTGATTGCAGCTGTGTATTTTTTTGACCAATGCACTTGCAGCTGTGCAAGCCTGACCCACGCTGAGATGCCACACTGCGTCAGCCCTTTCTATGTCCTTGTCTCCACAGCGCGAATCTGTCCAAGGCTGCCTGGGGAGCCCTGGAGAAGAATGGTGCCCAGCTGATGATCCGCTCCTACGAGCTTGGGGTCCTTTTCCTCCCTGCAGCGTTTGTGAGTTCATACTTCCAGCTGTCCCATTGCCCATGTGTGAAATGGTGTCTTGTGTTTTCTCCACGTAGTCGGTGGTGAGCTGCCCAGCATTGGCACGTAGCAGGGTCTGTTTCTTACCCAGAGCCTGGGCTCTTGACCACAATCTGTGCTTTGAACTTACCAAATTCTTATCTGGATGCAGCAGGATACCTGACTAGAGGTTGAGCGATGAAGTTAAAAACAATATTTAAAATCAGGCTAATAAGACCCATGTCACCATACGATGTGGGGAATTAAATGGTAAAATATTTTTTAAATGGAGAACTTAATAGACTAAAAATTATTGTTCTCTCTAAAATGAGCCTATGTAGGGGTGAGGGTGGAGGTGGAGCTGGGGTGAAAGTTGAAGCTTTATATTTGTATAACTGGATTTATTATTTGCAGTTGGATTTGAACTCACCTATGAAAAATCCTAAAGAAATATATTTAAGGAAATACTGTGTAAGATGACATGAAGGCTTATCACAAGGTGGTAAATGACAAACAGAGTGTTTTAAATGGGGGTGATTGGAGAACACAGTTGGGAAGTAGGAGGGCTTTGCAGGGGTGTTGAAAGATGTGGAAGGTTTGGGGTGCAGGGAGAGAAGGGGGAAGGGCATCATACCTGGAAAAGAATTGGCAGGAGCAAAGCCTGGGAGGCAGAGGAACTCACGTCATCAGCTAAAGGGACCCACAAACGCAATGCCTTGTCCCCATCCAGTTTCCCATTGGTTGGGTTGACTGTGTCCTGTGAATCATAAGTGACTGGGGCAAAGTGCTGAAGTTAGGCCTTGTGGATAATACCCAGAAGTGTCTTGACCCTGCTCCCAAGGAGCTGATAGTCATAAAATCAGATAGGTCCAAGAATGTGAATAGTAGGACAAGAGGCATCCAAAATACGAGGGTGGTATTCAGCCTGAGGTAGCAAAGACTAGAGGCTAACAGGAGCCATAGTGGGGGATTTTTAGTCAAGTTTTCCAAAAACAAACTTAAGCCCACAAACAGCGGTTGACGTAAAAAGGCGTGCGGCCGCGCGCGCAGGGCTTATCCAGATCCCAGAGGCCACGAGGTCCGAGCGCGCACGGGTGGCGCCGGAGCTTATCTTCAGACACGCGACGCGGAATCACTCAGCATGTCCCCTGGTGGCACACAGGCTCTCACATAATGTGTACACGTGGGCACGTCATCACCTCCAACAGTGAGCTGGAGCGCCCCGGCACAAACAGAGGGTGCGACAGGCTGTCGTATCTGCCAGCGTGATGGGCACATGGCCGACGCATTAACTTTGGAGTTAATTGCAGCGTTTATACTTGTGGGCATTGGCAGGTGAGCTGCCTGGCGGTGCGGGCTATCTACATAGGGGGGCCGCCGATCCAGGCGCGCCTCGGGCGGACGCCGCAAAGGCTGAATCGCCTGCTGATCCAGAGAGGGATAGTTGGGCTAGTTACACACCGCTAGAAGCCCCACGCTCCGTGCCCCCGGCGCCCTCGTGACATTCCCGCCGCCACCACCCACGCCTCCCCCGCACGCGCGGCCTGCGCCTCCCGACTTCCGTGAGCCC